AGGAGGTGGTTCAGCTCGCCGACTAATAACCCGATTCCAGTCATTTTGACGAAATGATCCAACAGCCCCCTTCATTGAAACTGCTCTACAGAACAGATCATTTCCTTGGTAGCTCTGCGGGTTACGCTGCTAACTTCCTAAACTGAATTTCATTGGAATCAAACATACATCCACCGACTCAATAATCTAGGTATATTCGTGGTAAATACGGAAAGGTGGTAACGACATTAGTCCAAGAAGAGTAGCAGAATTGAACCCCCGTCCAAAGGTTTACGGGTGGTATACTTGGCCTAAATTGGTTTGAAAGTAGCATGATAACTAGTGATGGAAGACAGCTTCGCGAAATATTTCCAGTTTACCTGGCATTCATGATTGCCTCCTGTTTAAAATGCGTGTCAATGTCCACCGATGTGCAAAATCACTATTCCCTAAAAAAGTTGCTTCAAAAATAGCCCATCAATCGGAAAACAAGCAAATAAAAGAAGGATCGGCAGTTGTTAGAAGGTTGCTGAAAACTCTTTCAAATCCCAAGAACGATTTCTCCCTTCTTTGGCCCCATCAGGTAGACGCAATCCCCGAGTTTCGGTCTGTCGTTTATTCAGCTTGAACCCAAATTAAACATATTTGGACAAACACGCTCACTTGCACACTGTAGTGGCACTCAGTATTCGCGCAATGGAATTGAATTTTAGAAAGCTATGACTGATGGACTGAAGCAATCGCGCGATTGAGTTCAGAGTACCAGTCCAGACTTTTAAGCCTCATTTGGGCATCCCGGGGTCTCAGAGATGCTGGGAAACTATTTTACAAGACTTCTGACTGAGGAATGATTGCATCAGTGGACAGTGAAATTAGCTGAGCTGCAAAAATATGAACGTAGCTAAGGATGGTTTTTTCTTTGAGCACATACGCAACAAAATGTAACATTTTGGCGCAAGAAGTTTTACTCCAGCCGTGAAGGTTTTGCAGCTGAGAGCATTGTGCTGATAACGGGCAACCACTGTAGTAGCTGCTTCGGTGTGTCAGAGAGTTTGCACGTGTATGTGTCCGTTCGTCGTTCCATCATCGATCTGGCGTGTGACTTGAGTGGCTGATTGGGTGCGTGTCCGATTGATCTGCTCGCGTGAGCGCTGTGGGTTGACTGGATATGTACTCAGTTGTTTGCTGACCCGCCACGTAAGCGGACCAAGTTGGCCGCGTGTACACAGTATACCTGTGTCCGTACTTACGTGTTCTCACTTACTGCGAAGTACAACACACACGAATTTGGTTTTGACCATCATAAGAAAGAGAGATCCATCTGTATTCAGTTGAATATCCTGTAAAAACCAAATTCGTGCGCAGATGGGAGTACTTGTCGAAAAAAGGGCAGACGGTCCTTTTTGCTATTAGCAATACGATCTTAAGGATGCCCAACAGTGCGCCCTCTCTTATCAGTATATGGTGACCAGAAACATTCTCCGTGTTTCAACCACCCTAGAAAGATAGGATGGCGCATTTCATTAACGTAAGTAACCTATCGGGTCATTTTTTTACAGAAACCTTTTTCCTTTATATAGGCACGTTATACACGTATTTGGACCGCGCCCATCAGGGCCTAGATATCGCACAATGATCTAGTGCAGGTACAAAGACCTTGGGATCAATCGCATACGTCACACCTAGTCTCACAAGCCGACTGCCCATGACTAACCGCAGTAGGCCACTGCGGGCGAAAATAAGATCAGTGGCACCAGGACCGGGCCACGGGTTCGGGTAATCTTTTATGCTTATGATGGTCCACTGCTTTCTATAGCTTACCCCTGGGCCAGGAATTGCAATGATACAATGATGAAGCTACCTCCAGTAGCGCACAAACTGTGCAACTGATTGAGAATAAACTTGAAGTGCTTGCGAATAATGATGTTGTATATAGGGTCAAGAAAACATAACTACTCAGTTTCAGACAGAAAAAGTAAATGCTTAATAGAAGCACTACACCCTTGGAAACAATGGGTACCAGACCGCCTTCAGGTGAAAGCTTGCGTATGGGGCTCAGGAAATCGACAGGCCAAAGCAAAGCATTTTTGGTCTGCAGAATCGTTCATACATGTAATGGGTCAGTTGGTCCCTCATAGAGAGGTTCGCCGTGTCCTCGCACTTCTTGAATCTAAGCTGAGAACTTGAGACGACACAAGGGATGAGTCACGCAGTAGGCTAGCAAAACGATGCTGAGTGCAAGGATTCCAACAATGTAATTTACTCTGGCTTGGTATGAGACAGCGGTTCTTGTAAGATCCACGTTGTTTCCGGTAATTTATGCCCCCTTAAAAGTTGGTGAAATGGCACTGAGAACTGACCAGAAAGGGTGCAATTTCTCGAAACGAAATTCAGTTTGGTTCAGGAACAGTCATGTCATGTAAACAATTAGCAACGATTCATTTGATAAGATGTAGCTGCTTAACTACTTACGACTGACGTCATCGCCGGTTGACTGTCGATATCCAAACGTTAAGCCCAGTAACATCCCATACATTGTGCCACGTTGCCAGCGCCTACCGAGCTGTAAACAACGCGAGCACAAAAGATTCTCATCAAACCGTCCTCTCATCAAACTGTCCACGAAGCCGAATTCATTCGTATTAGCAAAGCAAGATACTTGAGACATCCACTGAACGATCATGGTAGTGTCAGCAACATAACGACCTAATTTCCGGACATACTACACCTGTTGCTTGTGGTTTGATAACCCATAGAGGTTTGTTTAGCAGCGGAGATCTATAAGAAGATACCTGTGTCCGTACTTACGTGTTCTCACTTACTGCGAAGTACAACACACACGAATTTGGTTTTGACCATCATAAGAAAGAGAGATCCATCTGTATTCAGTTGAATATCCTGTAAAAACCAAATTCGTGCGCAGATGGGAGTACTTGTCGAAAAAAGGGCAGACGGTCCTTTTTGCTATTAGCAATACGATCTTAAGGATGCCCAACAGTGCGCCCTCTCTTATCAGTATATGGTGACCAGAAACATTCTCCGTGTTTCAACCACCCTAGAAAGATAGGATGGCGCATTTCATTAACGTAAGTAACCTATCGGGTCATTTTTTTACAGAAACCTTTTTCCTTTATATAGGCACGTTATACACGTATTTGGACCGCGCCCATCAGGGCCTAGATATCGCACAATGATCTAGTGCAGGTACAAAGACCTTGGGATCAATCGCATACGTCACACCTAGTCTCACAAGCCGACTGCCCATGACTAACCGCAGTAGGCCACTGCGGGCGAAAATAAGATCAGTGGCACCAGGACCGGGCCACGGGTTCGGGTAATCTTTTATGCTTATGATGGTCCACTGCTTTCTATAGCTTACCCCTGGGCCAGGAATTGCAATGATACAATGATGAAGCTACCTCCAGTAGCGCACAAACTGTGCAACTGATTGAGAATAAACTTGAAGTGCTTGCGAATAATGATGTTGTATATAGGGTCAAGAAAACATAACTACTCAGTTTCAGACAGAAAAAGTAAATGCTTAATAGAAGCACTACACCCTTGGAAACAATGGGTACCAGACCGCCTTCAGGTGAAAGCTTGCGTATGGGGCTCAGGAAATCGACAGGCCAAAGCAAAGCATTTTTGGTCTGCAGAATCGTTCATACATGTAATGGGTCAGTTGGTCCCTCATAGAGAGGTTCGCCGTGTCCTCGCACTTCTTGAATCTAAGCTGAGAACTTGAGACGACACAAGGGATGAGTCACGCAGTAGGCTAGCAAAACGATGCTGAGTGCAAGGATTCCAACAATGTAATTTACTCTGGCTTGGTATGAGACAGCGGTTCTTGTAAGATCCACGTTGTTTCCGGTAATTTATGCCCCCTTAAAAGTTGGTGAAATGGCACTGAGAACTGACCAGAAAGGGTGCAATTTCTCGAAACGAAATTCAGTTTGGTTCAGGAACAGTCATGCAACGGCAAGCAGTCTGGCAAACTTGTATTGGTAACGGAGAGGGTGCGATGTAAAACACTAGGTCCCCTGTTTCCATTGCATCAGTACGGATATAACTCAATCACGCAGATCCAATCCTGGAGGTTGATCGCGTCGATAGCACCAAGACTTTATGTAATCTGTTTCATAACATTGTGCTAGGGATTGGCCACCTCTTTTCTTCCGCTACTCTTGAGTAGGCATGGATAACCATACTCTTTTCGGCAAACGATGGCTTGGTTCGCGCAATACGTGGTTTACCCAACTCAAATTCTGGCACTGGACACATTCTTCAATAAAGGTCCCCGTTGCACAACCGAAAACTCACGTCCCTATTGTCTCTTTACGGATTTGCCAGCACCTTGGTCCTGAGACTAGGTCTATTGAAGAACTGAAAACGTCTAGTTTCCCCTCCCGAAGGGATTCTATCTTATAGCCACACAACAAAACAGTTTATACTCTAGCCTGATGCATACCTCCTTTGAGATTAAGGCATATGTCGCCTTGACGCAATAGATGTTTCAAATTAACAAACTGGAACAGAATCCTAGAGATTAATGCATTAACCTTATCTGTCACACCACAATCAGAACTAATTCAACCTTCAGCATGCGCGAAATTCTCCATAACTTCGAATACCTATCTTTGGATTACGAATAGCACGTTCAGTGATTGCATTTCAAGAAACATAACTTTTCATTTTGTGGATGTGGAGCGCATGCCTGAGGACAGGACCACTTTGGTCAGTTTATCCAAAAGTACTTACTTGTCCTCTTCGTCGACTAAACTGATATCCTCTGTATATTCCAGATAGACAAGATTTCCGTCAACAGGTATTTCATCACCTATGTTTTGGAGGTCTTCCAAACTTCTCCTCATAGTCTGTTTGAGCATGAGCTTAAGTAGGAGTGCAGAGAGTGAGCACAGTTTACTGATACCAATTTGTGTAGTCAAATGAATTGAATGTGCCTTGGGAAGCCAAAAATATCAGAATTATGCGCTGTTGTAGCACCGGACGGAATGTGAAGATGTAGTCAAAGCAACCTTTGCAAGGCCATAATCCTGTTTGGAACCCTCGAGAAATCATCTGGGTGAGAAACCATCCGGGCTATGTGCTTGCCGGTGCTAAAGAGGACATTCATAGACCTTCATGTCTGTGGAGTGTTGCGGGTTCACCTTCCATGGTTCTACTCCTCTTGCAGGATTCAACTGGGTAGCAACGTGTGGTCACGAGCATCGTGGTTCACATTGCTCCGGCCAAAGACTGTGGCTTCTTTTTTTTTTACTGAGGATAGTAGCTCCATTTTCATTGTTGATCGTTCAGCTCATAAACGGTTCCTGAAGGCTGGTCTCACGGATTAGCTGAAGCAAGCTCCGGGCATTCCCGGTCTTCTAGGCCTTTTTCCTCTCCTAGACACTCGTATTCACCAGGATTTAAGGTCGCCGCGCACACTAATTTTGACTTGGCGTATGATGACCCAGATGAATGAATTATGTTCGGGACCGGTGGAAACATGTATCCGAAATTCAGGCAGTGCTACTGTTCCGTCTGATATCCAGTAATTGGGTGTACCTGGTAACGCCATTCTATGGACAAGACTCCTGGTCCTGCGCACAAATAAGGCAGTTAGAAAAGAGTCCAGAGGATGATTTTGATAAATTTTTCTCACTTTGGGATCTATCAATCTCTTAGTTGTTGGGAGATTCGTCCGCTCTCGACATGTCAGCCACATAATTGAGTCTCAAGTATGCTTAGCCTAACCGCTTGTGCATTCAGGTGTCCAGAAACCATAACGCTATGTGAACCTTTAGATCTCCGCAATAGGGCATTGAAGACAAAAAATTTCTCTGATGGAATCAGAGCTGCATTCAGCTAATAATAATCATAGTCGGTCTGCTATACCACTCTTTCGGTGCCTAGCTGCCATGCCACCGAAAGGAAGCACGAGGGCTGGGATACTGCCAGGTTGCCCAAGCCTAGACAGAGAAGTCGAGAGGCAGAGATCGGGTTTAAAACACATACTTCACAGACTTTGACAGACGAACCTTCCACAGACGACTATCAGCGGGTATCCATTTAAGTAAGGATCCTTCCCCAGGCGACTGAGAAATTCTGCCCCAGTGGCCTCTGGATCACCCTAGGCTCAAGCTGACGCAAATTTTGCGGCCCAAACCGATGCAAGATGAACAGGTTCCTCATTCTTAACGGATGGGCCTACAAGGAAAGGGTCATAATAATAAGGTGGAGGAAAGTAAAGTAGGAAGTAAAAGTATGTGGAAAAGGAAGAACGGAGAGTCAGCAGTAGCTTGCCCTCGCTTACATTGCTGAAAAAACAACAAAATTCTTTTTTCGGTTCAATCCTATTATCAGGGAGGCATCTTTATGCTTAAAGTCCATGGGTTGACCAATTACAGATCTGCTTCATGCAACAAGGCCAAACTGCTCAGTTGATGTTGATTTCGGTGCAACAACAGGTGAATTTGTGCACGACATACGGAGCGAAACGACTGGGTACAAAATAGGCGTCGCGAACCGGTGATTTATTTGTTTTATTGAGAATAGCAGGTTTAGCTGATTCACTGGGTACGTTCGGTCGATCTGTGTCATATGACTAGTTAGCAGTTCAGTTGCCAGTCTGGGCGACTAGGTCAACAGCTACCTGATGAACTATCGTTAGTCAGGTTGCAAAGTAAGCAACTGGTGAAAACACCGGATTCCCATATCGGGATCAATTTTACACTGTTTATTCTAGCGAAATTGACTAACCGCAACATTGCACCGGACGGTACTGACTGCGAAATTTCTTGGAATGAACAAAGCACAACGTTTGTCGCACTCAGTGAAGTGAACTAGGCTCACTTCGTATCTGGTCCCTCGAAGTAACGTAAACTTGTGTGCAAGCTGTGAAAAATTCTTAGTGGCAAATGTTTTATGATAGGTTTTATAATAATAGGTTGAAATCTACCGTAGACATTCAAGTCATGCCTTCCAATGGCGCATTTATAAAGACTTGACAACCATTGGTCATGCTTCATTGATTAAGTTTTCTTGAGATGACTGGGACAACTGAAAACAGGTTTTATATTGAAGCAGATGATGCTAACTTATTTTCGAATTACTTTTAAGGGAGATATTGTTCCTTGGGGAAGCTGACTGATGTTGATAACCTGAGAAGCGGCGCTGTACGTTGTTCACAATGCTGGTCAGCCGCTCATGATCAAAAGGTCAGGTGTCCCTGTAGCGACCCAGTCACCCACATACTTGACTATTCAACTCACAGTCGCTCACTGGATCGCGAGGCTCGTCTTTTTCTCACACGCACAAACACGTCGCATTAAGCTGACACATCGGACATCGATGGTCTGCACCGCCTAGTCAGCGCAGCAACCACTCATGTGCCGACGCGCCCACTGGACGCGACGCACTGGGACCTACATAAAGGCAAACCGAACACAGTCAAGACACAGAGACTCGCGCGCGCGCAGGGAGCAGGACGTCAACCTCTCCACAAGTCCACGGACAACCATGGAGTACGTGTAGCAGTCGAACTGCGGAGAAAAACACGTTCCCGCCGTCCGGACTTCCACCAAGGGACTCTCGCATCCGATAAGTTCCCTTTTTGATTTGCTCCCATCCTCGCACTGTATTTATTTTTATACGTGTCGCAACCATACAAAAACTTCTATTAGTGCACATTCACCTTCTGATTTGTATTTTGAATATCGTCACCTGTGCACTAACATCCCCACCGTCAGCTGGGTGGTAGCGGGTTCCAGTCTCCCCGAAGTTTTATGAGAGTTTTATGCACTGTCGGCGACTCCAAAAAAGGCTGCAGATAGCTTGTAGGCAGTGAATGAACTGTGACGTTTCGATAGAGGAGGCGACCGTGCAATGCTCAGTGGTCAGCCTTAGCTGAAAAGCTACGAACTGTATTGTGTGTGCTCCGAAATACTGATCAGAGCATACCACCAAAAACCCGATGAAAGCTTTATTTGACCGACCATCCATGCGGCTAACTCCGATCCACGCGTGATATCGTACACCCCTTATCATCATCAGTCTCATTGGTAATTGTGATTTCGTCCCGTCAGTGAAGCCAATCTGTGGCGAAAAGCTGATAAGCACTACATAGCTTTTTCATCCTTTTTGGGAACTATCAGCAGTGCGCATCTCACGAAACTCAGAGTTTCAAAGCCACAACCTGTGGTGGAACATTTAACCATTTGGTCACAAGCTGCTGAATAGCAGCGTGATTGGCTCTCATTTAGACGGGATACAACTCTGCTCATCCTTTAATCACAAAAACCATCACTTGGTCAAGTATTGTCTAACAACTACTGTTTACGAAATTGCATAGAATACATGTTCACGACCTTCAGCTACACAATCCAAACCCTAATGCAGTGGTGCTGACTTTCAAACATGTTATGGTGAACTGTAGTTGAAATCTAAAGTCGTCCTATAAAGCTGAATCCTGTTGGGTAGTAATTTTATCATCACCAAAGGTGATTGTTCCTTTCCTAGAATTTCAGAATGTGCTTAACTCAACAAAGCCAGACAGAATTGTGGGAATGCTGAACAGAGGACTTGTCAACAGGTTCGTTTATATACAGTAAGACGCTTCGCTAGAATAGATGAATCAGTATTTCTCCGGGTCATAGCACAGCCGGGTTACACAGCGTTCAGTTTACGTTCATAACGGACTAATATCAGTTTGCTTACATGACATTCCAGAAAGTGCATCTTAATCTTCTATCATCTAATCGTTTCAATGATGAATTTGGGTTGATATTTTATGCTGACGCATAAAGCTTAATTTGGATGATTTTGTCGAAACCTGAAACATTAATCTGTGTGTTCTGAATTTGGACTGAGAGTGGCACATTGCACCTTTCAACAGCAGCTACGTCGGCCACGATGACATCCCCATGGTAATGCCAATCTGCATGCCTGGATATTTGGCCCAGCACGTGAAATGGTCCTTGTTGCTTATCTAATTTGAATGGAGTATCACGTCCATCATGTAACATGGAGTATCACAGACTCACAACACAACCAACCGATTACCGCACTCTCTAGCAACGCACTTATGATGGCGATGAAACGTTTGTAAACTGTTCGGCTCAGCGAATGAACCAACGACCATGTTCAGTTGTCAGCGCGCCATAGCGCGAACCCACCGTTACGCTCCACCCTGCACCCCAGCAACTCTCTGATGATGTCACCTAGACTGAGACATTTGTGATCAAGCTACTCAGCTCAGTCAACAAGCCAACAACCATCTACGTTACCTGAGCTACCAACATTCTGCTCAGCAGAAAACAAAACATGTAGCGCATGGGATTCATTGTAATCAGCTGATTGTTCAGAGTAAAAGAACTGACGATAAAAGGCGTCTTTTCATGTGTGCGGGATGTGGTACATGATCCGATTTCAGACAAAACAGCACGCATGCACACGTTCGACGTACTTCCTAGTATGTCGGCGGTTGCTAGTACGGTCACGTCATCTGTTGCCAGTGTGCCTGAAAATTTCTGGAATTTCGACACGAGATGAATCCAAAATGGGAATGATTGAATTGATAGAAATAGACTATTGTACGTACAGTGGACTTGATACAGATCTTCCGAAACCCCGTCATGTCGAGAGATTCTTGCAACAACATTCCGCAAACAGCTGCGTGAATGAGTGGGCTGTAAAGCAATGACCTGAGCGCAAACGATATTTCTTGCAACCTACATCAAGGGACGACGGAGTTCTTACCCTTTTATATTGTGTGTATCAGTGAAAACATTTAGCCACCAGAAGGAACATCCGATGACTATCTAAATTAGTCTTAATTTTTGAGAGCAATGTTTTCAACATTCCGCCATTCACCTACGAGACCGATTATTTGATATCTACACGCGAATGTTGGACGACCATTCACACTGCAGTTAACAGCTCGACCATAGGTTTTTGGAAACAGGTGTTTGCTTAATCACCTGTCCTTAATTCTGATCAGAGGAGTCAACATCATATGACGGTTGTGGTTCTAGTCTGGAAGGCATGTCCTTTGTTTATCCTGACCTAGGCGACCAGAAAATGTGTTTGCGGCTCACCTTGACATGCACGGTGAGTTTTCGCCAGGCTAGCTACTGTAATCCTTGTGCGAAACAAGTCACCCATTGTGGCGTAAAATTACTGGTGTTAGTGTAGTTCTTCGTTGTATGAGGGCCGTGTTAATGTCAGGACACTGTAACCTAGGTACAAGATTGATTAGTGTCCTCTACCAATATCTGGCCGAAGACCTTTGCCCTGCGGCACAAGAGCCAACGTATCAATTTGACTTCTGACGTGAACAACTGAGTTACACCGGTCTGTATTCGGTCAAGTTAGTTGCTACAGCAAGGAAGCGGCTAAGTGGGAGAGAGCTTACTCTATTTTCCAGCTTAATAAAGCATTCGTCCCCACATAGACCACCATAACATAAAAAGAAAAAAAGAAGCTGGTCACTTTGATGAAAACGAGAAAACATTTCCGGTGATGACACTTAGTACCACCACTATAGTGGCTGTTGCAAGCACTAACAAAGATTTCAACCTGCAAATGATGCCAGTTTGTGATGAGAAGCCAGGAAATACTGCACAGCTGTTTCATCATCGTTGGGACTTGTCAGCAGTGCACATGCTGTGAAACTCCATGGAATCTGGAACCCGCGACTTCCCGGTTAGTGGCATGACCACTTAACTTCGGCCTGCGGAACCGGTCAACACGTGTGGCCACGCGATGTGGATCCCGTGGACGAATGATGAGTGGTACAATTTCAAGCTGATTGCATTAGTGATCAACCATTCGTAGCCGGACGGTTAGTTGCTTAATCGCTGGTCGGAAGGTATCGGCTCCGTGAGTTTTGTGACATGGACACTGTTGATGATCCCCAAATCAGGATGAATCAGCAATACAGTGCTTTTCTAGGCTTTACAGCATTGATTGGCTTCACTTACAGAACGAAATGTCCGTTGAATTTCCCACAACTTCTCACATGACTAACTCTATTGCTTTATTGTTTGTCAAGTGATGTCGGAGCATATGGCGTCCATATAAAACAGATTTAGCCTTTAAAAGACAAACCAACTGTCATTTCTCAGAGAAAAAATGATCCGGTTTGTAAGAAAATTAGTTGTCTGGTTAAGCCATATTTGACTGGACCATTATCCCTAAGGTCAGATTTTACTCAAGACGAACCAATATCTTTGTGCCATCAGGTGGGCTTAGCAGAACGATGTGACCGTATCAGCGATGGAGCATTCTAACGCCAAAAACGAAGCGAAAATACTTTTGTCCGTTGTTATTTGTGAAGTGGAGTATAAACGCAATAGAACAAATGGTAAAATCATAGACGCCCATCGACTTCCACGGGTGCGTAATCCCACCCTCCCATCGAGAAATCCTTGAAGGGCAAACGAATTCCATTACAGAATATACAAGAATAGGTACCAGATGATCAGTGCTGTTGGGGAACCTCACCCTAACGCTCAGTGTACGACGACATCCCTTTTGTGTCAAAAGAGGGGACAAATAGCAATACCTAGGAAGATTCATCCAAGAAAAAGCCACACATTCTAGTGGTACACGTGTCCCGTGTCAGGGGCGACTTATCGTTTGACACGTTGGAAGATAGGGTTCCCCATAATCTAATCCCTGCGTAGTGACCTGCCTACGAACGAAGGCTGCATATAAAATTAACTGCTAATGCACTTTGTTTGGTGGACGGAAACTAGCCCATAACCGTCTCGAAAAGTCCGAGATAGCCCGGTTCCAAAATGTGAGGTCTGTTCCCCCATTTACCTGTTAGTCGCACGACAAACTGTCCCTCTAAACACGACAGAGTAACTTTTCAGCACATCGTTCAAGTAATTCATTAGGCCAGTGAGGCCTTTTGAGCTATAAATTCGCTCATGGTTCCATCTTAATTTGCGAATGTCCCTCGAGGGTGCGCTTGACAAACAGACTTATTAATCGAGCTTGTCATGAGTTGGAAGCCGCATAAACTGAAATTCTGTCAAGCGCATGCAAGTGAGTGAAATTGACACATCCCGATTCCTCACAGCGAACGATGATGAGTCGTCAGATGGTGCCTCAAAGGTGCTTATCTGGATAGCAGGCGCGTGACAGATGAAATAGACTCTTTATTAAGTGGAATGATAACACCAATTGCTTGCGAATGTCCACCCGTGACAGCCCCAGTTCTTCCAACTTCTCGCTTTCATCCCCGTTTGAGGGAAACGGTTTTAGATACTCACAGAATCCAAGTGTCGCGATGCAAAGATAAGAATTACACGAGGTGAATAAGTGGTCACGTAGCGGATCTAGACGATGTGAACAATAAACGCAAGACGATCCAGTGTTTGAGCATCGCTGCAGTGGAAATCGAGTTCACCGCGACGGAGCATGGCTGAGGCATATTGGATGCAGGTTATGGGCAATAGCAACAACTTGTCAGAAGGAACCTGATCATAAGAGCTTTCACTGAGACTACTTCACTTGACCACTTCAAGAACTGGATGAGTACACCATTTGCTTCAATGTGCTTGGGAGGTATCGCATCTGCACTAACAAGAATGGGTCGATGCTGAGTCAGTTGGGTAGCTTTTAAAGGGGGCCCTTTGCTCTACAACTACAAAGTTAATCTTAGCGCTGATTCCCGGTTTAGTTTTACATTTTTTCGGCATGCAATGTTGAAAAGAAGGAACAATCTTACCACCGTCTGTGGTTCTAACCTAGACGTAAGTGCCTGATTGGTGCTACTGCAAAAATTGGAGTACTAAGGCTGGGAAGCTTTTTCGACGTTCTTTCCGCAAAATCGGGTGTGATTGTGGCGAAGTAGACTACCACAAACGGCAGAATATGAAACAACGAAGTCCAACCAGAGGCACTGTACGGATTTCAATTTGTGGTCACTTCACGCAAAAGGGAAACTGACTGGTTTGGGAAACTGAAATCAAGGGTACTGCATACGTGCGGCAGAAGTTGACTTGTCTCACGGCAGATATTGCTTGGTCCACCGGTTGTTGGTCCAAGTAAGATAGGTTCGAACCAACAGCTACCAGTGAAATGCTCTGGTGGGCAGGACTGCCACCATAATCCAACGACCAGGCGGATGGCTACATTCTGAAGGTTTCCGCATAATCCAACCGAACTATGCTGCATTTACAAACATTGTCGGCTTTCTAAACGAGTACAAGCTTACACATACGTTCCGAATGAAACAAACATTCGGTCGTGATCTGACTTCGCCTTTAGACAGTACACACGCTAACAAGGATGACAATACTGATTCACCGAAGTAGCTCGAGTGTCTCGCTTACACCATTAGGACTTCAGCTAGACAGCGCGTACGAGCATAGGAATTCATCGGAAACCCAGTATTACCTGGAGAAGAACCGGTACATTTTCACTGAAAGAATCGTGTGTACCAGGTAAGGATATGAGAAAAAAACCATGGGAGGAAGGAAGAAATCTAGCTTAGAAAAAACAATTAAAGCAATGGACAAAGCAGGGTGAGGTTGCCCAAAAAACCGATCCGAAACGATCAAACAGGTTACTAAACATGGAAGTAAAGAAAATACACAGCCGATAGAAAGTCACAGCCAGTAGACAGATAAAATTAGGTTGGAGAGGAATATTGAATGAATATGAATACAAGATGGGGATGATGGCAAGATACGAGGAGAGAGGAGAGGATGGCATGCGGGTAAATCACAACTACTGCGGCCGCTTTTTCAAACTGAGACGCGACGGCTTGTTCCTTCCCAGGGTTTTGCCCTCCGGACCGGCGGAAAGTGTGGTCCGCTGAACGGGAGATGTGGTTTTATGGTTTGTACCTCGGATAGCCAGTTTGGCCAAGTGGGCGGTTACGGCGCTTCGAAGACCACCTGACTCCTTTTGTTTTCTAGACCTGAGTGGGAGTGTAATCAAACGCAAAGCGGTGGAAGAATATGGAATGAGTTTAACGTAAGAATGCGTTTTGAAAATGCGAAACAAGCCCGAAACCATAAAGAAAACGAAAGCAACAATGAGCAGGCCGTGGAGAATGATTACAATAAAAAAGATGAACCAGAAATGAGAATGCAAACATGAACCGGGCAAGAGAAAAAAAGCATCTCAGTCAGATTGCATCCTAACATAAACGAGATCTCATTGGTCAAGGTCGTGTGAGCGTCCAAAGGCCGCTCTGGCGATCAGAAAGCAAGCCTAACAAAAACGTCCTAATCAGAGCACGAATAAGGCAGATGTATCAGGTTACGGGGAGTGAACTATTCTCTCGTTGACTAAACGTCTACCACTGAAGAGAAGTGAACAAACAGGTTTACTGTACAGAAAAGCTGAAACCTTCTGTGATGCTCCATTCAAATTCACAAAGTGTATGCTGTTGGTGTATGATAGTATATTTCGACCCAGAGCGAAAAAAATTTGGTGCGATTCAGGATCATTGGGTATATCTGAGCTGGTTGTGAGGCCGAGATAGTTCAGTGATCAGGACACGAAGCTACTGCCTGGAAGGTCGGTGATTCGAACCCAACCTCGGCTTTTCTCCCGCTTCTTTTAGGGCTTGGGCAATCTCAGCCCTCTTGCTTTTGTCGGGTGGCAGCTAGGAACTTTGGAAGAAAGGGTGTGAGCTCCAGATGGCTCGGTGATTAGGACGCGAAATTACTAGCTGGAAGACCCGACCTCTGCATCCCGACTACTTCTTTCTACGCTTGGGCGACCTGACAGTATCCCAGGCCTCGTGCTTTCCCAGAGTTGCATGGTAGCTATGAACTCAGAAGAGCATCATAAGTGAACGATTAATACTGTTTTTATTTCTATGGCCGCTGGGATGGATGTCTAACGGTCTGTCGTTTGTACAGCGTGCGTGAGTGCCACTAGCCGACTGGATTGGCTAAGGACAGTCGTTTTCAAGTCGCGACAAACTTGGCGCTAAAACTGCTAGTTTAAGCTTACTACGTTGCAACATCAAAAACCTGTTCGTGCGCTGATTTCGACTTAGTGTGTGTGCAATAATATCCTTTCTGTTGTGCGTATTTGAGAGCTGACGATAGTATAAGCGAAATGACACTAAACTACCCCAATAAGAATGTACTGGAGAGCCCCTGAAACTTAGAGTAAAAAAGTTTGAAGACGAGATAAAACTATCTGACAACACTTTAAAAAAACGTGATGTGAAATACAGTGAGGCGCGACGTATACCAGTGCGACGAAACAAGGTGCCTGACGGCCGATTTTCTCACTTCCTCGAAAGTTATTTTCAAGGTCGTCAGCGAAGAAATGGATAACTGAGTTATGCCGCCATTATGTAATGTATGAGTTGAATAGTGACCGAAGCATGACAAAAGATGGCAGTTGGACACCTTTTTACCGATAAAGGCAGCAACTAACTACTGGCTTGGGTCCTTGCTAGCAGCAAGATATATAGCCGTGGAACTACTGTGTAAGAGTAGGGTCCTCCAATCAGACTTGGAAAAACGATACAAGATGAGAGAAATCGTGATTTACCTGTCTAAAGCTGACAGGATCTGGTTACCTCAACTACATCGCAAGACGTGGGCGGACACCGACAGCAAACCAAATAAAACGAATGATGATAAACGATTATGCAAGAAACGCCTCAAAAGGAAGAACATGAGCAAGCTTCGAGGTAAAGCACCCAGAATAAAAAAGCATGTTCTTAAATTCAAACTCCAGACCGGGTTGCTGAATGGCAGAAACAAGACGGCGAGGAACACAGCAAACACTGATCATGCACCGTAACAAAGCCACCAGCAGCACTCACGAAGGTAATGGTAGGGTTTCCCTGAGAAATAAAGGTGGAAGTATGAATTGGTGTGTCTCAGGACACGAAGCTTCACAAAAACAGGTGGATGCCCGGGACGGATGTGGCAGTTGGGGGTTTGAAGGTCCACTTAAGTTGAAAGGCTTACACTTCCGCGATTCTTGAAGATGGTAACTGATACACAAAAATGATTGGGATCCTCGAAATGGGTTCAAATGGATCACAGCAACCGACGTGCGTCAAAGGACAAAGTATCACACCAGGAAGAGTCAACAGTGTGGTTGAAATGTCAAGCTATGGTTTGTGTGAAGCAGATGAAATTATTCAAGTATGGCCCGTACAATCACTGAGTGCAATAGACAGGGTGTGTAGTGGAGAAATGAGTAGTTTTGATGTTTGAACACCAATTGAATTTATATCCGTGGCATGATGCCCCGAGAACGACCTACTGAAAATGTCCATATGATTTAGCTAGACAGCTTACAAGAAAAAGCTCTGAGAATCGATAAGTTCCGCTGACGGTTGCAGCAAAGTCGCACTGTCCAGTTCATACGGAAGTTCAATCTTCAGTGTGAAGTCTGTAGAAGGGATTCTCGTACGGACGCAGTTGAATAGTCGTCACAGCGAGATGTCTTACTGAGACTAAGCATAGGCTTCTTCCGGGTGGGGCTTCAGAAGTCTAAGGAACGGGATGTTTCTTTTCAGAGAAGTTGGAGCCTGTGTCTTAAATTCATATAGAAGCGATTGGCGTAGAATGGACGTGGAAACCGTTTGAGTAGTAACATTTCGCTAAGCCTACAACAAAGCTAAGGGCCTCCGAGACGAGGGAACCAGGCTTCAGCAAACCAAGGACCTGTATAGGACTTGTATATTCACAGGAGAGGGACAGCAGCTCCGAAGAAAACCAACTGGCATGTTTTTGGAAAATGAGTTGTTGTTTTCAGTGTCGGAAAGGACATCCAGGACAAAGATGGTAAATAGACAGAAATGAGGTTAAGTTGTTTTCCCAGAAAGCCTACTAAACAGGTTTCTGGAAAAAATATAGAACGGAAATATTATTGTGGGTCGACATATGGGATTATGACAACCTGGAAAAATAATATTCTGAAAAGACTTTCAAAGTTTCCCTATTCGGATGATTTAGTCATATGGTTAGCATCTCTAAAACTGACAGGTTGTCGGATTTTACAGTGAGCACACTCCTTTACAATAGCTGGACATTCAGGGAAACAGTGACTTAGGGGTAACAAACGTAAGGCTAAATCAGGCCGATGTCTTAGCAACCGCAAACCATTTTTGAGTAGTCACATCAAAACGGCGTAACACAATTTTGCAGCTAATGGTCAAGTACGTAACAGAACGACTTACCCTGCACCAGCCTCATCCGATCGAATGCGACTGTACAGATCACTGAGACACTGCTCGACCTCGTGTGTTCGAACGATATCTCCAGCCTCGATCAGATCTAATCGGACGCGATCGAGGCCTGGCACAAGCCAAAGGAACAGGCTTTCTTCCATTTGGACAGCTGGTTTTGCGACAGATGCGTCAAGTAATTAAGGAAGAAGCAAGCGTGAATTAAACTTCCAGTTCTATTATCATAATATTTAGCCGCAAAATCAGCGTGTTTATTGTACAGTGGTTACATATGCCCCATTCTCGTTCGTCGATGCTTTGGGTAGGAAGGGTAAATAGTTGCACATTGGAGACGATGGCTGATATAATAAACGCATCAATACAGGGGTGTCAGTGGACTATTCATTAGGCAAATCGGGAAAAGCTGTGCACTGAAGATAACAACTTGGATACATGCGCACCACTGATCATGCCACTAGGCCATATCTGTCGATGTGTCCCATCTAGGAGTCCCCAGCCAGGAAGAGAGCGACGACCTGCGAAGCTTGGCTTGCTGGCAATGACTTTCATACTTCACTGCCAATTCCTACAATCTCCAAAGCCTGCTATTGTTTGTTTACTGAGAAAGACTTAATTTTCATAGAAAGTTGGTGCGAGTGCAGTCGGTAATGAGGCAGCACTAACACAATCAGATCGTTACAAAATGAAAACCGACTGACTGTGAAAAAATAATCGCTCAGCTGTAACACCCTTTTGGTGCCTAGCTGTCATACTACCTGAAGGAAGCATGAGGGCCCGGATACTGCCACGTCGCCCAAGCCCAGATAGAAGTCGAGATGCAGAGGCCGGGTTCGAACCATGGACCTTGCGGTCAGTAAATTCGCACTCTAACTACTGAGCCACTGACTGTGACGTATTTTTCAAGCCACCTATTGCAATCATGGCAATGACATACTTCACTGCCAATTCCTACAATCTCCAAAGCCTGCTATTGTTTGTTTACTGAGAAAGACTTAATTTTCATAGAAAGTTGGTGCGAGTGCAGTCGGTAATGAGGCAGCACTAACACAATCAGATCGTTACAAAATGAAAACCGACTGACTGTGAAAAAATAATCGCTCAGCTGTAACACCCTTTTGGTGCCTAGCTGTCATACTACCTGAAGGAAGCATGAGGGCCCGGATACTGCCACGTCGCCCAAGCCCAGATAGAAGTCGAGATGCAGAGGCCGGGTTCGAACCATGGACCTTGCGGTCAGTAAATTCGCACTCTAACTACTGAGCCACTGACTGTGACGTATTTTTCAAGCCACCTATTGCAATCACTCAGACTGAAATACTCCCAGGCGACTGAGGCAGCACAATCAGCCGAGACATCGAGTGATAAAAAATGTCAAACACTTCAGGTAGTTCACACCTGTTCTACGTCAGAGCTTGGTGGCACGTTCTGTCTATCCAAAGTGGTCGAAAAAACGGTCGGAGGACAACCTGTGATATCCTTGCGCAACGTCTCTTAAGTTCTTGCTTTCCACGACGAAGTCTTACTGAAGGAATTACCATGAGTAAGTAATGGTGATTGAACTTCCCTACACTACTGTCACCGTCTAACTACGTTGGAAGATAAAAAAAAAGAAAGTTGCCCACAGTATGAGCCGCCGAGTTCTCTGGCGGTCACCTGACAAAATGAGTTACTTAGAGAGGTCCGGTGGTTTCTCGAACCTTTGGTGCGCCGTTCACGTTCTCTTTCCTACAAGGATTCCGCTCCAAGGATGAACTCTAACCTTTGTGTGACTACACGCGACACTCAAAGTTGAGCGGAGGACTCAAACAGACGTTGAAAAGAATCCTTACCAAATGTCATTTCATCTATCCAAACTTCTGAAGAGGCTTTCATGCATTCGGCATTGATTGGCATGAAAAGATGGAGTTCACGGTTAGCTCGCCCTGCTTGCTATAGCTGGCTATCAGGATTTGGCTTTTGTCGCACACATTGTGGGTTAGCACCAGAGATGAGAACCGAACGCCAGGTGGGGATCAAAAGCAAGTGAATCAAGTGCTCTCCATTCAGAAGTCTCCGACAATTACGTTACATCTAGGAATCTGACAATCTATCGTTATCCATTATAGCTCAGAGGTTGAAGTGGCTTTTTAGTCTTCTTGTGAGGAAAACATGTTGATGCAGATCTGAAATATCTATGAAAACAGCAGAGCAAGGCAAAGCTACCCGTCTGCAGACTTGCCAACCAACGATGTAGGGTACATAAAGTCAGAGCTACTGCGGGTTCCGTCAAATGAATACGAGAGTTGGGGTTAAAAAATTTAAGTACATGAAACCCCTGGCTCCAAGATGCCCCGTGTGAATTAAGCAGTAGTTCGGTGGTTAACCAGCTGGTTGTTGATCGATTTGCAAACGTTTCACTATCATAGGAGACACCATCAATGCGCAGATGGGTGGGTACTTGGTCCCCTACAGTGATTGGCCAATTGGGAGACGGTATTTTTGTGCATTTGTTTCGTTTATGATTTTTATTGCGTGTGGTCTGCGTCCCTTTGAGTCGATCGGTAATTGTAATGCCTTCCAGTTCTAATAATTTTTTTTACTTTGCATTGATTTGCATTGTGTTGTGGTCCAATCTCGAGACTGAATGGTTGGTTTCACCGCTCTATTTTCTCCTTTGCAACGACAGGTGTCCCTGTGTTTGCAACTAATTTAATACTTTGGTTTACTGGCTGGGCGCCTCCAAGCACTTTGATGTGCCTATTCGAATCAGGCTTTCCTGCTTCTTCCATGAGTTCCTCGTCTGTTTGGAGCTCTGTAGTTCTGGCCTCTCCTTGCGGTTAACAAGTGGGGTCAATTTCGATAGTTGACAGCGTCTTGGGTGGAGTACCAAGATATCATTAATTCACGTTTTTTCTTGAGCACGTATGCGAATGCCGCTCCAGTCAGACTCGTATCCTTCCTGATTTTTATGAAAGGATATGGGAGAAAGAGAAAATCGACAGTCTTTTGGCAACGACCTTTTGTTCATGTATTCTGGTGGAGCTTTCATCCTGTATGTCCAATGTATTGCTTCTCGCAGCCATAGCATTGGGATCTTGTATATGATATCGTTTCTCATCATTCGACCCAATTTTCCGCTGGTTTCGAGAGCCCTCCGCAAGATTTTCTTAGGTTTTTAAACGATCGTCGTAGTATGCTATCGTAGCGGACTTGCAACGTACTTGATGAGTGTGATTCGTTTTCTTCGCTCTCAGCTTCCTGAATGATCTCCAGATGAAATTCCTTGCTTAGAAATTTCTATGAATAAATTGTATGGGCTTTTTCTGATCTGGTCTTGGATTCAGTGGTGTTGTAGCGTGTTTCGATCCACTTGAAGTGTCCGAATGCAACTTTGTTTGCGACAATTTGGGTGATTGTTGTGGCAGATCATAATTCGGTCCGTATGCGTCGCCTTCTGGGGGGCGAGATGGCCCAAGTGGTTAGAGCGCGAATTTACTGACCGGAAGGTCCGTGGTTCGAATCCGACCTCCGCCACTCGACTTCCCCTGTCCAGGCTTGGGCAACCTGGCAGTATCCCAGCCCCCGTGCTTCCTTCGGGTGGCATGGCAGCTAGGCACCGGAAGGGTGCTACAGTTGAACGCGTCGCCTTCTGTAGACATCAGTTTATAGCCGTCTATTCGACAATTTAGTGATCAGGAAGTCCAGAAATGCCAGTTGGTTACACAGGGTTAGTTGGAGATAGGTAGGTAGGTATTTATCGGAATCGACCAAAATGAGGAAAGTGTCAAACTAAACTTATGGGTGTTGATAATGAACAATCAACCAGGTAGTGTGCGAAAAGGATACAATAGGCCGCGGTTGAAAACACGGCAAAAAGTCGATCTGCCAGTCGAGCACGCTGATCCAAGTTCGGGAGTGAGTTGCTCATTTCGGCCAGTTGACAAAGTCGTGGTAGTATGACTGAAACGGAATGAAACAAATGCCATAGTTCATTTTTTTAAAAAACAAACGAGATAGAAAACAGAGGTGAACACTAAACTCAACATCATCCAACAAAACCAAACCCATTATAGTGACCGGTGTTCAAATAGCTGAAAGAAGGTTATGCTGAGACCATTGACCGTTTGGGTTCACGTCAACGGCGGGTCGTCACTGATGGAGTAAAAACATATTCCTTTTGGGTAGTAATTTCCACCCAGTTCAGCTAGCCGGTCATAAACCAAATGTTAAGCTATAGTGATTCCGGACCGTTCACCAACGGCAGTCCGGTTCGAGAGAGATATGGGGGTGATTGGAAATTTGTGCACCATAACTTGTCTCCGATTGTCTGACATAGAAGAGGATGTTGGTAGTCCAGGTTGTGCAGTTGATGGTCGACCAATAATTCTCCCAGTGTACCTAATAACTGGCATACCCCGTTGCGAATAGACAAGAGATATACAAGAACTGTTTGAAAAAGCTTTCGTATGTCGCTTCGTAGCGTCTCAAACTAGTATCTGCTCTGAAAGAAATGGTTCTCCGAGAAAGTTGTGCGAAATGCACATTTTACAGAGTGCAGTTTGTGAGGAGTATCACCAAAGTACGACTGCTATCATCGAAGGACCCTCCAAAATTATCCGTAAAATGAATGCCTTTGGCTAGTGACTCTGTTTTACCACGTTTGATCAGCAAACACAGGTGATACACTCAATTCTGGTCTACATAAAACGGGAAATCACGCACTATATTATGCACGAAGTGGAAAGTGAATACAACAGCAGCCGTTGGCATTGAGCTCCCAAATTTCACAGTAACGCTCAAAAGAAGGATAAGTGACCTTCCTTGAACAAGCGAGGGTTAGAGAAGATGGATGACCCAATGGTGAGAAAGAAAAGATGACTTTCTAAATACAATTTGAGCCTAAGTCCTGTAAGTGAAGTCAACCTATGCGGAAAATCCGATAGGCACTGTAACGTTGTTTCCTTCCTAATGGGAATCAGTGAGCACACGACAACTCTTACAGAGATTTGAATTTGCAACCTCCTGGCTGACAGCTGAGGACTAAACCGTTCGGTCACAAGCGGCTGATCTGAAATGTGACTGACTCGTACTTGGACCCGCACCAATTCATGTCCAGTGAAACGCTAGAATTTCATAGCAGATGGAATCAATGAAAACAATTTACATAGATGGAGTAATCAATCATAATCGATGAACAGAAATGATGCGATAAAAGTCTTCAAACTCCAGCAACTTTTACACATGAGGAAGGCTACCACACAGAAAAGCATTCCGATCCTCTTTAATCGTATTAATCATCATCATCACCATCGACAGCATGATATCAGTGTTCAACACCGATGCTTCACTGCCGTACAACCATGACTAATTTGAAAGCCTTATTGTGAAGGAAATTATAAAGGTGGATGGGGGAGGGACTTAGTGCTAGCTTAACACAACCATTCCGAGGTGCCTACACCTCCAGACATTCACTCAGGCAATCTGGACAGAAACTGACAACAAGAACGCCACTGACATCGGTTGGCAGCCATATCTTGTAGTGTNAAGGGAGACGTTGGACTTCCTGGAGGTGAAGGTCCACGTGGACCTGTTGGGGAACCGGGTGAACAAGGGGATGTCGGTCTACCGGGGTTGCAAGGACCAGTGGGTATACCAGGACCGCAAGGCCCCAGAGGAAAACCTGGTGGTCCAGGACCCCATGGAAGAAAGGGCGAAACGGGCGAACAAGGCTTACCTGGTTTGGCCGGCCCGCCAGGCCCTGTTGGCGCTCCAGGACCTGAAGGTATTGCTGGCCCCCGTGGACCCCCCGGACCGCCTGGCATTCGCGGACGTCCGGGTGCAGTCGGAGTGCCAGGGTCAGATGGTCCACCGGGATTTCCAGGTGAGGATGGCCACGAACTTGAGGGATCTTATTATAAAAGCCCGTTTCGTGTTTTCAGATGTTGTGATCGAAAGCTACAAAGCAGATTCTGCCGTCAAAAGTAAAAATCTATCTACGGAGACATATTCCTACTGAAAATACTGAACACGTTTTATTAGACTTATAAACCAAGTGAAAAAATCACCAAAATATCACGTAAAGTGGTACGCGCTTTCCAATATACCATACAAGTTAACGCACGTACCCAAGGAGACCACGACAGGGCGAATTAAAAGTTGAGAGAGCGTTTCTCATTCTTTCAGAGTTTTCCAAATTTTCTCCCCAACGGGTCGAAATAGCTTTACGCAAAGTAACGTCTTCATATCAAGCTAGGATTAACAGCAGACGGCTTGTAAGGTCCCAGCTGTGGAAGTTGAGTCTCGCGCATTCAAAACGATCCCGACATAACAGAATACTTGAGATAATCCCTTCAGCTCTACACTATTATATAGGCGATAAATCTCACCTCTTTAGACCTCAGTGGGACGGGGATACCTGAATAGCAAATCATCATCACCATCGACAGCATGATATCAGTGTTCAACACCGATGCTTCACTGCCGTACAACCATGACTAATTTGAAAGCCTTATTGTGAAGGAAATTATAAAGGTGGATGGGGGAGGGACTTAGTGCTAGCTTAACACAACCATTCCGAGGTGCATACACCTCCA